AATTTTATTATTATTATTATTATCATTCCTTCTATTCATTTTAATAATTGAATGTTTACGAACGATTTAACGAGCATAAATGGGATGTATCAATCACTTTTGGATCACTGTTTATCTGTCTGTATTAGCTATGTGTGTGTGTGTGTGTGAATAAACGTGAAAATTTTCGTGTGTGTGTGTGTGTGTTGTCGATGTAATAACACTGTAATTAAACAACTTGTCTTTGATGTTTTTTTCTCTCAATATTTTCTAGAAATGGACTTTTTTCCAATTTAAAACCTGTTGGCATTCATATCATATCTTGAGCTATGCAAATTCCTGAAAAAAAATTATCACTATTATATATGAATAAATAGATGTCATCAATTAAAACTTCAAAATTGACCAAAAAAAAACAACTAATGACACTGAATGCTGATGTCGATGATGATAAAGAGGTGCCAAAAGATTGTCAAAACGGAGAGCGGTAGATAACGACAAATAAGAAGAAATAAATGTTTCAGTTTATGTTTGTGTGTGGGCAATTGTTGGTATGTGTGGGAAAAAAAATCTGATCTTTTTTTGCCCCTTATATATTTAATATAGTTGACCACTTGTCACCTTGTGTGTTTGTGTGTGTCCACACCGAATATATTTTTGTTGATTTTAATTTCTTTTCTACTCTGGAAAATCTGTTTTTTTTCTGTTCTATTATCAGCTACCTACACATATTTATGCAATGATGATTGTTATTATTATTATTAATCGTTGAAACAAATTTGGTCAACTTTTTATTGATCGATTGTCTATAAAATGGATAGAAAAGAAAGATACTAAATGATGAGTTTTATACTCTTATTTGATGATTATCTGATATGTTTGAATTAGAATAGCAAAAAAAAACTTTTTTTCAATTGATAATGATTAATGAAAATGATAAATTAGTTTTTTGATTGTTGGTGTCTGTGTGTGTGTGTGTGTGTGTATTTTCCATAACATGATCGATCATTCTTTTTTACTCATTTCTGTCTCTAGTGCATGTGTGTGTGTGTGTATGTATAATCATCATCATTTTATAATAAGAATTTTTTCTTTTTCCAATTTCTTTCCATTAGATGACACAATCTTTACTATGTCATGCTGTTCATCTCGGATGACATATACACATACAAACAAAAAAACTGCAAATAGATGGTGACCAGTAATTCAACAATTTAGTTATGGCTCATTTACCAAGAAGAAGGTGGAAGATTGACAACTTGCACACACGAACATTAATTTGCTAACCGATTGCGAAATAGCCAAATGAGTGAAAATTTTCTATTTTCTTTTTTTTTTTTTTTGGATTGAAAAAGAACTGACCACAATGATGATGATGATGATGATGATAATAATGCATATGAACAAATGAGAAAAAATGAATAGAAGTAGCTGACCGAAAAAAAAAGTGATGAAGATTATAATCATTAACGATAAATGAACATAAGTTCATTGAATTCATTCATAAACCAATTCATATTTAGCAAATGGACACGTTTTTTTGCAGTTACAACTAGAAAAAAAAATCGATCAATTCGATTTAATATTTATAGGAAAAAAAAAAAATTAATGGTCAATCTCGTGATGATAATTCAATGCTGAAATCATTATTGTTTATTTCCATCCGATTCCATAATGCCCGTAATGATTATAATGATGATGATGATGATGATGATGATAATTATAATGACCACGATGCTCACCACACCATCTAATGAAGGAGCAAGAGAAAAAGAATTTTTTTTTGTTAATTAAACAAAATGGAAGCGAAAATCAATAATAGAAAAACTACGATATATACATGTGTGTGTGTGTGTGTGATCATTCGTATGAATGCATTTATCTATCACACATGTATACACTTGCAATTTCATTCTATTTCATTGCAACCATTGCTTTCATCATTATTACCAACACAACCATCATCGACCATGATAGGATCTATATATTTCACGATCTAGATCGTGGCCTGGGCCACCATTGATGCTATGCTATACATATCATCTCTCTCTCTGTGTGTGTGTATACTGATTATAATGATGATTATGTCTAATGAATGAGAACCTGTTAATTGAATATTATATTTGCAGCTCATTTTCGGTCTAATTAGCTTTGGCTAACATTTTTTTTTCTGTTGGCGGGGAATGCAGCAAAGAAAAAAAATATACATTATCTTTCCAACTAATCTCATGGCAGTTCATCTAAAATTGATAATTTTTTTTTTAAAATATATTATCAACAGCCAAGTGGTAGTTCGTAGCATCATCATTATTATCATTCATATAACGTAATGATAGGATATATGGAATGGCATGTCATCACAAGCAATTAATTAACTAATTTATGGACAATTCATTTTTGATGGAATTTTTTTTTTTTTGCTAGCCACACATTTTCGCCTTGTGTGATTTTGATTTGATGAAGGATATGGCTTCTTCATATTGGCCATTTGAATCATGATTGTCATGAAGAAGAAGAAGAAGAAGAAAAAGACGAAGAGAAAACAAAAAATTCAATTATCCCCGAATAACGAAATGATGATAATTGAAAAAAAAGAATGACGGACGAGGTTCTATTTTTTTTTAACATTTATTCATTCATTCATTCATTCAATTTATTTCAGCCATTCATCATGAATTGTCTAGATTGGCTTGAAAACAATTAAATAATTTAAATGTGTAATTTGAAAATGATGTCCATCGCTATCGTGTGAGTGTGTGTGTGTGTGTGTGTGTGTGTTGGTGCGCAAATTTTTTCCGCAAATCTTTTTTTTTCCTATTCTCGAATTGTTTTGCCGGCCTATGGCTTGTCGTTATTGAATAAAGTCACGACACACTCATCATTACAATCAAATATTTTCATTCTTTGAATTGATGATGATGATGATGATGATGGTCTCAACAACACCTCATAATCACGACTCTTCAACGAAAAAAAAGTGTTCAAATGTTGGCGATGGTGATGAGGTTTTTTTTCACATTCATTCATTTATTGAATGAACGAATTCATTTTTTTATTATTCCATTTATCTCGATCGAATGAATTCCTGAAGATCAAACGCCTTTTTTTATAGAACCATGAAAGTGCGATTTATTTTTTTTTATATTTTTTCAAATTCTCGCTTTACATGAAATTGGTTTGAATTTTCTCGTGCCTTTTTTTGTTATCAGCTTTTCCATAGCCACACCTTGTCATCGCTTGTTAAGCTTATAATTAATTAGCTAATTAATTAATTGTGCAAAGATAAGAGTTTTCTTCTTTTTTTTTATTTCATTATTAAATAACTATTGCCTGAATGGAACTTTTGATATGAAACATTTGATTCTATAAAAGACGACTACAACGAAATGACATATACACGATTACCAACTTGAAATGAAATGAATCAAGTTTTTTTTCCATTCTATGCATTTACTTTTTTTTCTTAAAAAAAAACTTTTTCATGCAATATTCTTGAATCGAAAAAAAACGTGCATCATCATCATCATCACATTATGACAAAGAAATGAATTGCAGCATCTTTGTTCATAAAATTTGGGCAACCGTTTTCTTTCATTGTTGATGACGACGGTCGTGGTGGGTAAATGAGCAATGATTTATGATTCCAAATTCTCAACAAACATTAAACGATTCATTATTATATAAATATATGTACACATGGCGTACATTATCGGATCTAATATTTTGGCCAAAAAAAAACTACACATCATTTAACTTCATCATTACCAGGGAGAGAGAAAGAGAGGGAGAATGAGAGATATGAAGCAATCGAGTATAAAAAAAAACGTTAATGAATTAATCAATTATATTCGTTGTTTCTAATTCTCCTAATTGTCTGTTCATTAGTAATGATAATAATAAAATGATTGAATAAGTTGATTATAATTTAATGAAACGTATATATCGTAGACAAATGCATAAAGCTCATTTCTTTTTTTTTTTTTTGCACATATCAGAGCATTTGATTGTAATTGTAATTGTAATTATTTTCAGTTAATTTTTGTTTTTTATTTCAATATTTACCATTTGTATGTGTGTACAATATGTTCATTCGAATGAAATGAATTAATATTTTCATATATATATACCTTTAATGAGATTGAATCAAAATGTTTATTGTGAATGATTCATAACAAAAAAAAAAAAAAAATTCGATTATAAATGAATTTGAATAATGTGGTTGATGTATATGGTTTCATATTTTTCTGCATTATCATCATCATCATCATAATCATTATCCATTTTTTTTTTTGATTGAATCAAACTATGAAGAAAAAAAAATTGATTCACTATTAAAGAACTTAAATGGCACGCGAATACAAATACCAATATCCGCATCGGATTGTATCATTGTCATAATTGTTATTATAATATAACAATAAACAAAATATTAATATATTCAATTTATGATCATAAATACGCGGCATGTGACTAGCCTGATGCTGACACTATGACCATTATGGCCACTCTATATTATGGCTTGATTCCGATTGCCATATTGATGATGATGATGATGATGATATGACATTCATGTGTATAGTAAAATAAATGTTTGAATGATTTGTTTCCATTCATTTATTCAATCGTATATATCCGATCATCATCATCATTGTCAATGTCATCGTGTCAATGGCCATAAAACTACATCAACGAATCGAACAATGAAAAAAAAACCGTCGGAAATCGCCACCTTTTTTTCTCTCTCTCTCATTTCGTTTGCTTACTCTTCTTCCCCGTTGTGAGATTTACGTATACACACGACTTTCTTTATGACGATATCACGTCAAAATACTTGTTGGGTAAAAAAAAAAAATATTCATCTCATCATCATCATTATCATCATTATTCGTGATAATGAAACATTTTTTTTTATAAAAGCGAAACGAATTTGACCGGAATTTCTATTAACAATTTTTTATTATTATTATTATTATTTGCTCTTTTACTTTAATTTTTTTTCTGGTCATTTTTTGACTCAATGATTATTTGCTTAACCATCGAGTTTGATGATTAATCTGGAAAATTTTTCAGTTTATAAATCAAATCAAAATCGATTCAATTGTGGTCAACGTCACACACACACACACACACACACACACACACGGCAATATCAATGAAATTAAAATTAATATAAAAGCAGAATAATCTTCTTTAAGTAGAATAATACATTGTCCTTTATGTAATTTATTTCAAATGTGTGTAAGTGTAAAGAAATGTTCAAATATACAAATAATATTGATGGTTTAATAATAAGAATAATAATAATGGTGATGATGATGATGATAATGAAATGATAACTATGTTTGTGTGGAATGTGCGTATACCCGATCATAAATGTGTGTGTGTTTAAATGAATATTTCAAATAATATTGATGATGATGATATGTAATCAATTTACACTTACAAATATTTATATACAAACACACACACAACAAGTAAGTATTTAGAAAAAAAAAATTCACAGCATACCATAATCGATAGGAATCAATGATCAATGATGATAATAACATAATCTTGAATGAAATATCGGAACGTTTACTTTGATATTTTCATTTGTATTTTTATTATTAATGTGTAATATTTATTTTTGTACAGATTTTGATGATTTTGATGTTGAATTTCGATGTATAGCTGAAGATGATGATGGTTCTGATGATGATGATGATGATGATTGTTGCAATGATACTGCATTCGTTGTTGATGTTGTTGTCGCCGTTTTTGTAGATGATGATGATGATAATTTATTGGAAGGTGTTATTGTTGTCGATAATGTATTTGAATGACTACTTGTCGTTGTTGCAGTTGTTAATGATGATGATGATGATGATGTTATCGATGGCGATGGCTGACCATAAGAATTAAGATTATGAAATGTTGCAAATATTGAATTTGCTCCGGTTTCAGAAGTAGAATTCGTATTTGTAGTCGATGAAGGTGGTGGTGCTAGTGGACAATTTTTATTACCACCATTCGGCTGTGCTTGATTACTGCTTGCTAATGCAGCAGCAGCGGCCGCGGCTGCAGCTGCAATATTGCCATTAAAACCAACAAATGGATGTCCATTTGGAAGGCCTGGAAATGGTCCAAATGGTCCCGGAAATGGTCGTGTTGATAGACGAAGTTTTTCAATTTCAGCTTCTTTCAATCGCTGTTCAAAAAATTAATTTAAATAAAAAAAAATAACAAACATAGGTTAAATATTTGTTGACATTGTAATTTGAAATGCAAATCTTTTCCTCTTTCTAACTAATATTCACCTTTTCTTTAGCTCGACGATTTTGAAACCATATTTTCACTTGTGTTTCAGTCAGATTAAGACTATTAGAAAATTCAGCACGCTCAGCAATGGAAAGATATTGTTTATTACGAAATTTTCGTTCTAATGCCAATAATTGTTGTGTTGTGAACGGTGTACGAGGTTTTCTATTGCTTTTATGTTTTCTCAATGCACATTTCACAGGTATTCTTGGTGGATCACCAGGTTCTATGGAAAAAAAAATTTAAAACATTATTTTACATCATAATCATTTGCATTAAAAGTTAATGACTTAGTAGACACATATTTTCATTAGAGCTAAAATTCAATAGACCAATGAATTTGTGCATGTTGATAGATAATCCAGGCATTCATGCATTAAAAGTTTGCTGTTTTACAAACACTACCATTATTTTGTTCATTGACTTTTTGGTGGATTATAGTTTTTTGTTGCCTATGTGTCTATGTGTGTATGGTGTTTTGTTGGCTGTTGCAAAAAAAAAAAGATTTGTAAGAAGCTAATTGTTAATTGATTGTCCAAGAGTTTTTTCTAAGGAAATACGAAATCTACATTTGTCAACCCATTCATGCTGACTAATCTTTGAACACATATTCATAATGTTCTGATAAATTGATTAAAACAAGCTGAACAATAGGATTAAAAAAAAATTCGTTATTTCCTTAGAGACCGATCGGTCATTTTACAACCGGTATTGGCCATATTTTTATTGTTCAAATTGAAACTAAAATAATATGGAATTATTACAACTATACAAATGAAATTCACTTTGTCATTTTTAATTTGTTTGTGTATTTTTTTTACATGGCAATTTTTATTTAGATTACCAGAAGAAAAAAAACTGTTTTGACTGTCAAATTCTAATCAAATTTGATGAAATTTGTGTTTATAACAAACAAGAAATAATAACTATTAGCTAGATAATTTATTTGCCACCCAAATGTTTTCATATATAATATCTACAATAGAAATACAACTCAGATAGTAAAGGTGATCAATAATCATCATAAGCATACATATGAATATATACAATCTAAAGCTTGTTATAATTTTTAATGGAATGTTGCTTGCCAGGTTAAGCCATTATAACTTGTTCACTATTCAACACAACATAAACTTGATTCCACTTGAACTAAAAAGGAATCCAATATCATACTAAATGACCGATGACCATTTTTATCATCAACATCATCATGAAAAACATAATATTATAACTAGATTAACAAACTAATGATTTTTATGTGTGTGTGTGTGTGTGCCTGTGTGTCCATTTCATTTCAATTCTAGGAAACAAATCTTTTTCTCTTGGTTTATAGTGGAAACCACACACACACACACACACTTATTCATAAGCATAACGACATAAACATAACGACCAAATGGACCATTAATATTTTGAAATATTTTTGATGATGATTTTTTTTTGAATGCGTGTATTCTATTGTTAATTGTTTAAATGCGTGAGTGTATAGAGAGAATGAATAAATAAATTTTCTTTTTCATTTACGACCATAATTATTAATTTGTCTATTCATTATTATTAAGTTTTTATGCATTGTATTTTATTATATGTTTGTCTATTTGTTCTACATGGTTTTGAAACAACAGAAAACTTTAATAACTTTATTACTAAAAAACTTACTGTGTGATGGTGATAATGGGCCAGATGCCTGGGCAAGCCAATGATGAAATGGATTCAACGGATGTGCACCAGGAAGACCACCAAGACCATGATGTGGTCCTGCTGGATGTGGAAGCCATGTTGGTGGTTGATGTGTTGGTGGATGTCCACCACTTGATAATGTAGCTGCTGCTTGATGATGTAATGGTCCACCTGATATTAATGGATGTGTTTGACCATGTGTAGAAAACAATGGATGTGAACCCGGTGTCTGACTGTTGTTCAACATAATTCCATCAACTGAGAATCGATGTCTAGCCGCTGCTGCTGCTGCCAATTGAAGTTGTAATGCAGCCGACATTGAATCAACATTCATTTGATGTGTTAAATTCTTTGATGTTTGTTGACTATCGGAAGATTTATTAAATTCCGATGAAAATGGACTATTACTACGGCTATTCGGTGGTGATAGTTGATGTGATGGTGAAAGACTTGCACTTAGACGTGTAACCGAAATTTTTCTTTCTTGATTTCTATTGCTCATATCGACAGCTTCTTCTTCATCATCATCATCCTCATTGTCTTTGTTTATTTTTTCCAATGATGATTTGACAGCTGAATCTTCGGCCATTTCTTCGTCAATATCATCATCATCTTCACCTTCAGAATATGAGCAATTACGATTCACGTTAATTATCTTGTTTGAATCTTCAGAATGTTTATTATCTTCATTACTAACATTATCGCCACTACCAGCCAATAATGAAGCAACAGAAAAATTTGTTGATGGTTTTGTTTGTTTAGGAAGTGCATTACTATTCTGAGAACATTGTTGATTGGACAAATTGTTTGCTAAATTTAGATCATATTGTTGACCGTAGGGAAATGGAAATCCAAATGAAAATGAAAATTGATTCGGAAGACCTTGACCCAATGAATAACCATATAATTTGGCCAATTGATTTGGCATCGAATAATTCGAGATCGATGATACTTGATGAGATTTAACTGGTGGTGATGAAACAGAGATACGTTCATCATCATCACTATCAATTGATTTTCCATTACATGGAGAAGAGATCGGTGATGTTGAATGATTTGATTCGGCACTGACCGATAATGGTGATGAGCTAATTTCTCGAACATATTTTCCTACTTTATTTGACATTGTTGTTTCGGCTTGATTGACCGTTGAATTGAGCAAACTATTATGAACCATTGTCATTGGTGAGGTAGCTGTTAAGCTTTTATTCTGACTCATAATTTGTTGCGGATTCAGCTGAAATCGAAGTCTATCCTCATTGATTATTATATTATGATGATTATGATTATTAATACTACTTTGATTACTGTTACGATGAGAAATTTCAAAATGATTATGATAATGGGACCTAGTGTTGAAATTTAGTTCATTATTGAAAAACACTGGTTCTGCTAGATTTGCAGCTATCAACGTTTGTCCACTTAATTGCATCATTTAATAGCTAGCCGGCCACATTTAAAGACGATTAACGTTGTTGATGATGATGGTGATGATAATGATTATGATGATGAATATTTATGATATGATGGTAATGTAATTAACATCTGTATATTTGATGATGAAGATTTTCATACATACATTCACTTATATAAACAATTAAATAAAAATTTTCAAACTGGCAAACAAAAAAAAAAGAATTATTCAATTGTTATTCATCAAGAATTCTATATAAATAATAAAGATCACCAGAATGGTTGAAGGTAAACAAAAAGCAAAATCAAAATCAAAATGAATAGAGAGAAGAAATTTTCAACTTCTTTTATATTTCTACCAAAAAAAAAATAAAATGTTTGCCTGGTGTAATAAACACAGAGAATACAAACTGATGGTGATCAACGACAAATATTGAACGAGCAAAAAAAAAATCTTATAAATGAATACACAATCAAAGGAGGTACAAGATTCACACATACACAATATCAATGAATATCCACAAACATACACACACACACACACACACATACACCATAGCAATCCAAATTACATGTGTATAAACAATTCGTTTGCCTGTATATAATGAAAACCGCCTATTTGATGATACAATCTTGAATCGACCACTACAACATTCACAAACATATACTGTTTTTACTACGATATATATAATAGATATTTGCATTGTGTGTGTGTGTGTGTGAGTGAGTGAATGATGCACATTATGGACCGCCCAATTAAATATTATTTCATTGTGATATGGATACTGAAGGTGGATCCTAGTTTTTTATATATTCAAGTTTATTCTCTTTAGAATTTAAATATTTTCTCTGTGCTAGTTTGTTTGTTCCCTTTCAGTTCTCTTTCTCTCTTTATTATGTTTCCTTTCAATATCCATTCAAATCATTCATTAACTCAATTGATATTGATATTTATTTACTACAAAATACAACAAAAAAAACTTATGATACTTGGTTGTTGTTATTGTTGTTGATGCTATCTATGGTGGTTGTTGTTGTTGTTGTTTTTTTTCTCATCTTATTCTTCTTGTTCATTTTTATTTCTCTTTTTATATATTATATATTGTTGTTATTGTTATATGTGTGAATTTATTTCTGTTCGTATTTCAAATATAATATTTTGACGTTATATATACATACACTCTCTCACACATTAGACTTATTAGACGATTATTTGTCCAACATTAAACACACCATCATTGTCATTGTATAATCATCATCATCCATAATAACATCAAATAGAAAATGTAACCACATGTATACATGTAATGAAAAGTCTTACTACTACTGACCTTAGACTTGCAAGAATTGAGAGGTAGGGGAAAAATTACAATACAAAAAAAAATCAATTTTTTTCGTATAAATCACAACCAAAAAAAAATGAAACTGACCAAACTGATTTTGCGCATTCATTCGATTTTTTTATCTAGTTTTTTTTTCTTTTGGATGATGTTGCTGCTAGTTGGAAGGATGTAGCCAGATTGTTAATGTTATAATAATTAAAAATAAAAAAATTTGATTCCGGAAACTCATCATCATACATGATGGCTAATGATGGCTAATGATGAGTAAAATAAAAAAAAGCAAGATAATTCACTATTTTGTATTTGAAGAAAACATTTAAAATGAAAAAGAATTGCACTATAGGTTGATTAATTAGTTCAATTTATGTCATCGTTTGTCATTCATTCATTATCGATTTACTGACTATATTAATCCAATCCAATACATGTTATTAAGTATTGATGACAAGTATGTAAGAAGCGAAGATGTTTTTTCATTATTTTTTTTTTATATATATCATCAAAATATTATGTGGATAAAATATTAAAAAAAAGTAGAAAAAAAAGATTGAACTAGTCGTTCAATTAAGATGACATGTAATACTAAATATGTTTAAAAAAATAATTATTATGAAGATGATCATGAATGCAATCCATCATCATAAATGAATGAAAAATATTTTTCTCTTTTTTTTTTTTTTTTCATATCATCCACTACAAGTGTATATATATATTGGATTAATTCCGTAAATTATTCACAAATCATCAATTATTATTATTGATTTATCCGTCAATTACAATTGTCCATAACGAATTGATAGGCCATCATCATCATCATCATCATCATTATCAGCTACATCATATCAATTTCAATTGTCTAAATCATTCATTTTCTTCGTTGTCAGTTGGTAAAATAATAAATTTTTTTCTTTTCATTGCAAATGATGATACAAAAAAAAATAACGAATAGAATCATTATTATCATCATCATCAGGATCGTGTTGATCATCATTGACGAAAACCATTAAATGACGATTATCGATATTTGTTATTGTCATCATATATAGTAGCTAGTTGTTTTTTATTTATTATTGTCAGGTTTTCCAGGTTTTGTCTTTCTATAGTATAGTTTGTGATTAATTATTAAACCAAAATGATTGCTTATAGCATTGAAACAATAACAACAATAACAACAACAACACTTGCTAAAACACATATGGCGTCCATTGGTGGACATTGTCCACTAACTAACTAACTAACTATCAACAACAACAACAGCAGCAGCAGGATAGATAATCAATACACACACACACACACACACAAGTGGTCCTCATCATTTCATCTTATTATTTGATCTCTATTCTATTATAGCCATTATCATTTCATCTTTATTTCATGTTTCTTATCTTAACAATGTCATTCATTTATTCTTTGTGTTGTTGTTAGATGAATAAAAAAAAATTTTTTTAACAAACAGCTTATCAATTGTTGCAAAGGTTTATAAATAAAAATAATAATATATATCTATCATTTGTTTGTCACCGTATGTCTTTATTTATTCTATATCAATAACTTTATCACAATGATGGACAAAATAAAAAAAATTCCACGAATCAGTGACGATGACAACCAAGAAACCCAAGTATTAATAACCCAAAGTCAATAATATTACTATTATAAGTTTTTAAAAGGTAAATAAAATATTAAATTTGGAACAAAGATAAAAAAAAGAAAACCTACGATTCGGATTTGTATATTTTGATTCATATCATTTGAAATAAATGTGTTGTGTGTGTGTGTGGTGTGTGTACCGGTGTAATATGTTTATTTGATTTGGATCTTAATTTTTGTCATATAAAATTATGATTGTTTTGAATCAATCAAATTGATCTATTTTTATCTTTTAATTGGTGAATGGTGGACAACAAACACACACACACACAGAGATGGAATCAAGTCCCAATAAATGAAATTATGATACGAATCAATCTAAATTCGCATTTTATAATTAAAAAAAATGAATCATGATTATAATGGACGAAAATAGATTAAAAATTATAGAATTTGTTTTTGTTTTATTAAGTTATCTTTGCGGAAAAGTAAATTAAAATTGTCATTTTATGAAATTTTTTTTCTGTTTTTTTATAGCATTTGATTCAATCATTTGATATGATGGTTGATTGCAATCAATCAATTAAAAAAAAAAAAAAAAAAAATTTTGTTGTATCAATATTGAAGAATCGATAAATCTATTTTTCGGTAGCAGAAATAACCTAAGAAATATTTATTAGGAAACTGTATGATCTGTTTGTGTGTATCTATTATGACGTCTAACGTTTTATTGATTGATTCGATTGATGATCAAAATGACTTTCAAATAGCCGTTGTTGTTGTTGTTGTTGTTGTTACGTTGGCATTGTTTGTTTGTTTGTTATTGTCTACGATGATGATGATGATGATGATAATTAAACATTACTGAACAAATTTGTGTTTCATAAAGTTTTTATTAATAGAATGAATGAATAATGTTCGTGGCAACGGAAATCATCATTAGCAATCAAGTGATTGTTTGACTACTATAGTGACATTCGTGACAGATATTGATAGAAAGAGGGAAAATTGTGTGTTTTCTATTTTTTCGTTAACTATAAACTTAAAGTCTATACAAACATACATATAAACAAACAATTGACAAACTTAATAGATCAATTGTTTTCCTTTTTCTAATGATGATGATGATGAAAACGAATATTGTTTTTGATTTCATTTATGATTTTGTTTTTTCGTAGAAAAAATTTTAAAAAAACAAAAATCTCAAATATTAATGTTTCAAAAACAATTAAATTAAAGAAAATTCTAGAATTTATTATTGACACAATAATGAGAGGCAATAGGAAAAATCAAAAAAAAATTTAGAAAAAAAAGAATCAATCACTTGATTTTTTTGTATCGACCATAAATGTCCATAATTGACGTGAGAAAATGATTGTTGAATTTTTTTTTTATTCTTCATGAATCAATATAATACATTACATTACTCAAGGGGATAATACACATGTAACATTTTGTTATTTGGAACCTGTGAACAAAATTTAATATATTGATGATGATGATGATGATGACAAATCTAGATCCATAATATCGTGTGAATGAAAGCTCTCATGAGACTTGCAAAAGTTCTTCGTTTTTTTTTTTGAAAATGACAAAGAAAAATTTTTTTTGTTCATTTTTGTTCATGTGTGTATGGTAAATAAAAGAGAGAAATCATTTTGGCAACAACAACAAAAAAAAAATACCGAAAACAACTTGAAATTAATAACATTTTGTACATGTTGTGGTTGTTGTAATAATTATGATCATCATCATCATCGATGATGATGATCATCTTGTTTGTAACGATTGGTTACAGTCAATTAAATTGAAAAAAATTTGAATAAGAAAAACAACATGCATACTGTTCAATCGATTGCGGAATTCTCACTGAATAATCATAATCATATATAGAGAGCAAAAAATCAAAACAAAATAAAATCCGAAATGACATAAAACAATTATTGTTGGTGATATTTTCCATTTCTGATTCATTCAATCATTCAGTTTTTTTTCTTGATTTTTGAAACTAAACTATAACTTTGTTTTTTGTTTTCATTTAGCACCAGTCATTATTTTACTAACGATTCTGGTGATTGATTATATTTTCTTGTTTGGTTTCTTCTTTTTTTTTTTGTTGCTCTCTATTGTACGTTTCATTTCCACACGCTGTCTTTCGGCCAATAGGTCATTATGGAATACACATATATACAAAACAACACGCACACAAACGTTTGGATTGTATGTTTTAACAAATAATGTATGGAGAGAGGAAA